TTTTCACTCGATATTAGAGTCTCTTATGATCTTGGTAGAGATTTAAATGGCTTCCGCCTACTAGTACTCAGACTTATGCTGTTTGACCGACCTAAGTTTTCTTTATTTCGTAGTCTTATTACTCTTGCCTTCTTTGGTAATTGCTCTGGCGGCACAACTCCTCTTTCCAGTGATTGTTTCCGATATCTTTCTGTTGATTGTTCCGCATAACCGCTCCTCTTTCTGGTGACCGTTTTGGCAACACTGTGTCTTGTTTTGTTACTGTTTTGGCAGTACCTCTCTTTTGGCCAGTATTCTGATCATTCTTCCAGCTAATGTTACCACACAAACTTTCTGATGAAATTCTAGTGACTGTTACTTTTGAGTCAGTCTCTCATTGGTTGGGTATAAGATATGTCTCTCACCCACCTATTCCATTACAAGTTAAATTATTTATTATTTATTCTTTTTCCTTTTCTTATTTTCTCTTGCTTTTCTATGACCTGAAGCAGTTCGTCCTAGTATCAACAGTAGTGACCCAATTGATGAAGATTTGTCTCTGTGGAAACAACCTTTTGTACAGAAAGCTCTGTCCCAGGTAGTTCTATGATCTTGTCATAACTTTTGGTTTGGTGTTTTTTTAATCTAGAATCAGTGTGTCATTACGGTTGCTATTGTGCAGATTGTTGGGACTTCGTCTTCATCAGTTTATCGTCCTCTGCTTCGTGCTTGTGCAGGTTACCTATCATCATTTTCACCATCAAATGTAGGTTTTCCCACTTCGTTTTAGGTTCTGTTCTGTCAACACAACATCTGCACTTTGGTTAATGCTGAACATTTTTCATTTGTCTTTCTCAGCCTTTGGTTTGTTATCCATTGAATCTTTATCTGGCAAGATCAACCAAGTGTATTTTTCCTTTGCTTCATTACCTGTGAATTTTATCTGGGAAGATGAGCCTGTTTTCTGCTTTTCTGTTTGGACTTTGGTTACCATTCTCAACATGGTCCCTACGCAGTTATTTAATTAAATATAGAGCTAGGAAAGAATGATACAATCCAAGACGATGTTACAAATGAATTGAAAAAAAATAAAAATTACAGTAGTATCTAGTTCTGTTTTTTCTTGTTCTGAAGTTTGTTTCTCTTTACTAAACTCTATTTGACACATACTGGCAGGGGAGGGCTGCATGTGTGCTCATTGATCTTTGCTCTGGTGTATTGGCTCCATGGATGCCTCAAGTGATAGCCAAGGTTATTCAATACTTTCTTCTTACTCTGCTGTGTAGGCTGTAGTAGAATTTACGTTTTACCTTGCAACCTTGCTTGTGAAAATTTTCTTCTTAGATTTCTTTTAATACAGATTGACTTAGCACTTGAGCTTTTGGAGGACCTTTTGCCTGTAATCCAGGTGTGTGTTTTTATGTTTCTTTCATTTTACTATAGTTAGCTTTCTGTGCTTATCTGATTGACCAGTAAACACTTGCTTGTGTACAATGAACCTTTTTAAACATTTTATAACCCAAGGAATGATGGAGAGAATATTGGTGCAGTACCTAATGCAGCAACAAAATTCCTATGTAATTTCTCATCTCTTTGTGAAGGCCTAGAAAAGTAGATTTAGTGGAAATTTGCAACTAGGAAGATGAATGTTTCATTGATGAGTGCAACTGCCAGATAAGGTTGCAAATTCTGTAGGATCTCATAGTACAGATATTTGAAGACAATGTTTCTTGGTAAAAGATATGAAGCATGGTAGTCAACATCATCGAACGACCTTACTTGAACAGGATCTGTTCTACAGTATCATCTACTGTATCCTTGAGTTTGAAGGAGACAGTCAACATTGTTCTAATAAACGTGCTGGGTGGATGCCTTTGACTGCAGTAGTTTACGGCTGGATGCTCTACATCTTTGAAATCCTTGTACATAAAAAGCATATCTAATTGATAATGCTGATACTAATCACCAACCTAATACAGAGAAGTCATTGCGATATATGACAGTAGTACCATAATAGTACCTCTAGGCAGTCCTCCAGGTCATGATTCAGTTATCTTTTCTTGTGCTATAACAATTGGATATTTCATATTTAGCAAAGATAATTTCTTACTGTTGGTGCCATTATCTGACCATATTCTTGCTATTGGGAGCCCATTTTCACTATATACGCTTTAATTAATACTTTCCTTTGGACAAATGTGTATCAGGGCGCCCACCACTCATTTGCTCGTGCACGTGCAGCCCTTAAATATATTGTCTTAGCTTTATCTGAGGTTATGGATGATATTTTGGTCAAATATAAAGTAATCTTTTGACTGAAATTTTTGTCAATTATTATTCAGGGAATTATATTATAATGATGATAAGATATGAGCTTAAATGAAGAAATGAGGATTCATATAGTCGACCACAACTTGTTTGGGTCTGAGGGGTAGTTGTTGTATTATTCAGGGAATCTTACAATTGCTCTTTAGCTGTTCGATTTAATACCTTTAAACTTTTAAATTTGGGAACTTCATCATTTCAGGATGCTAAGCACCAAGTGCTTTTTCTTGTTGAGATGCTAGAACCGTATCTCGATCCTGCAATAACCCCTGCACAGAGCATTATAGCCTTTGGGAACGTTTCTTCAGTTGTCCTTGAAAATCAAGAGAAATTGTGCTATTGCGTTAAATGTGATTCACACAGCTGTACTCAAGCCTGCTGTCCTTCCCTCTCTGGAAGCTGAGTGGAGGCACGGATCAGTTGTTCCAAGTTAATAGAAGGATGCACAAGTCTTTCTTGAAACATTGAGTTTCTTTGTGGGAACTACTTCATTCTATGTCCTGTTTTATAATTCAGAACTTAGCCCCTCTTGATTCTATACTGTTTTGATTTTATGACTGATTTTTTTAGCATGTTTAAATACTTTACTTCCTTTTTGGGGCTTGTATCAGTTAATTGATGTAACAGTGCCATTAATTGCTTTTGTATCCTGTTTTATGTAATGCCAGCTTTTGAAAGTTGCGAAATTGCAATATGGTGATGGTCAACTAAGCTATCTATCTATATACATACGAAACAATCCAACCCAAAAACTGATTGCAGGCTTTTTCCAATTGATCAAGAACAACAATGGCCAATGAGGAACCTATACCTCTGGAGATGCAGATTCAGATTGCTGAGTTAGATGTCACCTTATGGGTCCATTGAAAGAAAAGATAGAAAAACATGGGCTTCAATGAAGAAAGGCCTAACTGAAGGAAAAGATTAAAAAAAAATATATGTAGTTAATTATAATGACCATAAACCCAAACCACAATGATGCAGATAAAAGAACACAAAAGTTATAACTAAGCGAGGTACTTATTGGACAATGTGGCTCTCTTCAGGACAGCTTGTAAAGAAATGGATCTTGGGCCTAACTCAACCTCAAAAGCTAGCTCAAGAGGTGAGGATTGCCCAAGACATATTAAAGAGATCATCCATCCCTTATATGGCCAATATGTGAATCTTTTACAGAGCTCATGGGTAACAATGCATGCCTTAGCATCTTAGTGCGTGCAGCCAAGTGCTACTTAAGTGAAGTGAAGCAGGGCCTTTTTGGATTGGCTTTCGGCTTATGACTTATAAGCCAAAAGCCATAAGTTAGGATTTCTAACTTATGACTTTCGGCTTATTTTTGTTATTTTGGCTTTAAAATAAGTGCTTATAAGCACTTTTTAACTTTACCCAAACACTTCAAAACTGCTAAAAAGCTATTTTGGCTTAAAAGCACCTAAAATAAGTCAATCCAAACGGGCACACAATCTATTTTGCACAACTTATTTCGCACCTAGCTTCAGGGCTTAACCCTCTGTAAGAGAGTCTTAGAGAACACTGAATTGCACACCAAGACTTGGAGGGTATTTTGTTAGCTAGGTAAGTTAGTGCTTTGAAAGGGTGTCTAGTTTTACGAAAGGAATATCTTTAATTTAAAAGCCACTTTGGTAGTCTATGCTCAGTAAAGAGTAAGATGTCATCAATCTGGATGGTATCCTGATGTTCTAAACACAATGCATAGAATATATTCCAGTGATCATAATTATCTAAATGTGAAATAAAGTTTTTCAGTTTTTTTCTGAATATATCTTGCATCTTGTTCAATTCTGCTGCCAATCTACTTTGGAATTTTCACCTTGTATTCGTCTCAGAAAGACAGATTTCCTGTATGAAGTACTTGATTAAAGCAGGTTTTAGTACTGATGGAAAATGATATTCTACATTGAAAATAGGTTCGGTGCTAAACATCTTTTCAATGTTTTTTAAGACTGGTGCTAAGCAAGTAAGAACTACTTTTCTTTGTCCTATGACTATTCTTATTATATAATTTGTAAATGATTGATTGTTTAGTTGTTGGCGTCAAGGCCTGGACAAAGGTAGTCCATATACTGTTCATTATCTTGGAAACAGGATTTCTGTACATCTTTGAGAAACAAAAAAAAAAAGGGCAAAAGCTTTGTCAGGTAAAAGAACTTTAATGGGAATGATTGTTGTGGCGAATCCGATTGGGCTGTTTTGCTAGCCGTAATTGGTGAAACGAAATAGTTACTATTTTATTGAGCTGATTCTATATATAAAGGTGTATTATGTGTCATAGTGAAAGAGTTATCTGGTAACTAGTGCTTAAGTGCATATTATAGTAAGTTTTTTCCTAAGATATGCATATGATAGTAAGCTTTTTCCCAAGATATGCATACAGCTTGACTGCACTGAATTTGTCTTGAATCAATGAATATGCAGTGTATTTCTCTCAGTTTTGGAACCTCACATGCAGCTTCCTTCTGATGTCGACCTTCGCCAATCTCCTAGTGTTGAGCTGCTAGGACCACAATTATTGAATGTTTTACCTCTTTCTTCTGTCCTACGCAATGCTGGAGCTTCTTCTAGATCTGGCAGTCATGAGGATTCTGATGCAAAAGTTGATTCTGATATGACTGGAAAATGAGACATCCCCGAGGAAGTGAATCTTCTCTTCCCCCCCCCCCCCCCCCCCCCCCCCCCAGAGCTCAATAGAATCTCACTAGTCTCTGGGAGCCTGGAGAAAAAGTGCAGAGACTTGAGTTATGATGTCAAGAAGGAAATTAATCAAATTGTTGAGAAGTCCACACACAATCAGTTTGACCATGGCTTGCTATCTGCTATTGATAATACTGTTGAGTATTCTAATCTGCATGATCATTACTTTCAGCTTGTAAGTTATCGAGATTGTCAGATGAAAGCTTCTGAATTTAGGCGTTTAGCTCTGGACTTGCATTCTCAGTGTGAGATCACTCCGGAGGGTCATGATGCTGCTATAGATGCTTTGCTTTTAGCAGCAGAGTGTTATGTTAATCCGTTCTTTATGCTGTCTTCCAGGGACAGTTCACCTATTATGAACAAACTGAGTACTAAGAAGCCGTGTAAAAACCATGAAGTTTCTGTTCTTCGAGAACTTTTTGAGGACAATGACTTCAAAATTGTAGCAGATCTTGAGAGGAAAAGAGACAAATTTGTTCTTGAAATAAGCTTGAAGCAGCTGAGCTTGACAGGAAGTATCAGCAGAACTCAGACGGGGAATGTATGACTCCCTATGTTGAAGGGAATGATGAAAAACTTGATTTATCTCAGCAAGATATAAAATCAGCAGATGCTATCACCTTACTTCGTCAAAATCAAGCACTTATATGTGATTTTTTAATTCATCGTCTGCAAAAGGAGGAGCACCCGACACATGAGATACTATTGCAAATTCTGCTGTTTCTATTGCACTCTGGAACTAGATTGAACTGTCCTCCTGTGCTCATTGTTGACACAATCATAAAATCTGCTGAGCACTTAAACCAGCAGCTGAGAACTTTTTACTATCAATTAAAAGAAGGAACTGTCCAGTTTAATGAGTGGAAGCTGCAGGCAGTTCGACGTCGCTGGATTCTTCTTAAGAGATTGATAATTGCTTCAAGTGGTTGTGATGAAGGGTCCGAGCTTTCAATTAACTACAGGAGTGGTTTTCGGTTTGCTAATCTAGTTCCTGCTTCAGCTTGGCTGCAGAAAATACCTGCATTCTCATCTTCAACTTTCCCTCTTGCCCGTTTTCTTGGCTGGATGGCAATATCTCGTAATGCTAAACAGTATCAGAAGGAGAAACTCTTCCTTGTCTCAGATCTTTCACAGTTGACATATCTCCTGTCTATATTTTCAGATGAGCTTGCTGTAGTAGGTCACCTGGAGCAGAAAGATGACAAGAAAATTGAAGAATCTGGTAGCAATTCAAGTTCTAGGAAAGGGGGTGAAAGTCGTAGTCCACAGAATGGAGATCAGTCTTTTTCTGTTATATACCCAGAAATAAATCAGTTCTTTCCCAATTTGCAAAAAGAGTTTGAAGTTTTTGGGGAATCTCTATTGGAGGCTGTTGCTTTGCAATTAAGATCCTTTTCTTCTACTATTGTACCAGATTTATTGTGTTGGTTTTCTGACTTTTGTTCATGGCCTTTTTTTCGAGAAGAGAACCAACCTTTTTGTAGAAGATCTACTGGGTTTGCAAAAGGTTTTGTTACTAAGAATGCAAAAGCAATTGTCTTTTGTGTGCTTGAAGCCATTGTTGCTGAGCACATGGAAGCACTGGTACCAGAAGTACCAACCTTGATGCAAGTTCTTGTTTCCTTGTGTAGGTCTTCATATTGTGATGTGTCATTTCTCAGTTCAGTGCTGCAATTGGTAAAGCCAATTATCTCATATTCTTTGGGAAAATGTTCTGCCAATGAGAAGTTAGTGAGTGATGATTCATGTCTTAATTTAGAATCATTATGCTTTGATGAACTTTTTGACATCATCAAAGATGAGAATCATAACACTCCAAGAGAGGATGGATTGTGCAGGGCAATGCCAATTTTTGTTTTGGCATCGGTGTTTCCTGATCTATCCTTGCAACGCAAAGTTGAACATTGCAGTTTTCTATATCCTGTGCTGATTTTACTTCATTTCATGATTATCTTTGTGCATACCAGGCTGTAATAAGAAATTGCAGAGTTTTGTTACTTGAGACATTGAGAGGCTGGGGTGTCATTCCCTATGCTATATCTCCGTTGTCTGAAATGGATTCTGCACCATGTGATAATAGATCTGAACAGCACTCAACTTTCCTTTTGGATATCTACTCAACTGAGATGAATGAAACAAACATGGATGATAATGCTGTTGTGAACAAGAAGTCTCATCTCAAAGTTGTGGAAGTTGTAAGATTCTTAAAGGACCTAGAAGCACTCATTTCTAAGCTAAATCCAACTATTGAACGATGCTTTAGGATTCACCATAAATTAGCAGAGAGTCTAACCCTTGTTTCTGCAGAAAGTTTCGTGTACTCAAGATGCTTATGTTTGGTTGCTGAGAAAGTTCCAGTTTCTGAAGGCAGTGAAGAGGGAATTCTGCTTAAGATGGAATCTAATTCAGATTTCACTGATTTTTGGAAAATCAGTCTTGAAGGACTTGCAGAAATGATTCTATTGCTTCAAAAGAACCACTTGTGGGAGCTTGCTTCTGTGATCCTTGGTTCTGTACTTGCTGTTCCTCAATGCTTCTCTTTGCATAGTGTAATTAGCAATGTATGCTCTGCAGTTAAAAATTTCTTGCATGGTGCCCCAAGTATTGCTTGGAGGCTTCACAGTGATCAATGGATCTCTCAGTTATGTGAAAGAGGCATCCACACCTACCATGAATGTGAAGGTTCTCTGATTGATCTGTTCTCTTTCATGCTTTGCCATCCGGAGCCTGAGCAACTATTTATTGCACTTAAATACTTGGGGAGGCTCATGAGCCAAGATGGACATAGTGGGTCTGCTTTATTATGTTCTAGTATTTGCGATAAAGTAGCCTCATCAGTAAGTAAGTCTTCTGCATGCGAGCCGATTATATCTGCACTTGTTTCTGGTACATGGGATCAGGTAGCTTTGCTGGTTTCATCTGACCCATCACAGCGTTTAAGAATCCACGCAATGGCTCGTCTTGTCAACTATGTACCATTCTCTGAAAGACGCAACTTGCAATCATTTCTTGCAGCAGCTGATACAGTTCTACAGTGTTTGACAAAGCTATCACAACCAACCTGTGAAGGACCATTAGCGCAACTTTCGATTATACTTTTTGCCAGTATTTGCCTATACTCTCCAGTTGAAGATATTTCACTTATTCCTGAATATTTGGAGCAGTATTGAAAGTTTTGCATTAGGAGGAAATGGTATAATTTTCTTGTACTTTTCTATTACAACCAAAAGTAGATGTAAGATTGAGTTCTGTCAGTATTGTGCTTATTGTTCTATCCAATTTGTCTCATTTTTTCCAGAAAGATTTCCTGTCAGCCTTGAGAAAAGAACTTGCCAAGCTTTATGTAGACTGAGAAATGAAGGGGATGAGGCTAAAGAGGTAATAGACCAATAAGGAGACCGATTTTCATTTGTCACTTTCTTAGTGATTTATGTATAGAATTTTCGAACATCAAAATATTAAATTCCTGCTCTCTGTTTTCTTTCTCCAATTATCAAGCTATTAGCTTTTTTTTTTTTTTTTATAAAGGTAACATTTGTATATTAATCATCAGCTCAAAGCTGGTATCCAAAAATTTACATCATATCCTCCTTCCTTCCACACATGTATGTCGGGCATAAACAAAGGATATAGAAAAGAAAAGAAGAAAAAAGAGAACTATCCCTAGATCCTCCTTTCACCTTTATAAGGACCCTATAATGTCTACAATAGCCACAGGGTCATCTATATACTCTGAACTACACCAATAGCAAAAAGTGATAATGCAGTTCATTTTAATCTTGTGCAGAGGGCTGCTCTTGTTATCAAAATTCCTAGAATTTCTTTCTTTCCATATGGTCCACCAAATAACAGCTGGGACAATTTTCCATCTACTCGTCTGTGCTGCCACTGCCCTCCATATTCCAGCTTTCTAGAGCCTGTCCTGTTCTCCCTGGAACAGTCCAACTTATACCTCTGAAGCTAGTAAACAAATTCCACAGCTTGCCAACCACTTTACAATGTAAGAACAGATGATTAATTGTCTCTGCAACCTGCTCACAAAAACGGCATCTTGGGCACATTTGTATTCCCCTCTTCATAAGATTCTCTTGTGTAAGCTATTAGCTTGACAACATTATTCTTGTGAAGTCCATCTAACGTGAACTTCTTTGCATGGATAAAAGATGTTGAAAGAAGCTCTCTCTTCAAATTCCCAGCAGCAAATGGATCCAGATTTTGGTCATACACGCGAAACAATCCTTCAGGTATATACAATCTTAATCCAGTAAGTCTCTTGTTAATGATCTATGTTTCATCAAGATGTCCCACTTTCCATCTGACACGATATGTATAAAGTAACTCCAGTTGTACTTCTGAACATTGTCTAGAACACACGTGGTATTTGGTTTGACTAAAACTAATAATTGCTTTCTATGATAAAAATATCAGCTGATTTATATTTGATTTTAAGGTAGCAATCAGCATCAGCATCATTCCTTTTTAGTTCAATGTCTGATGTGGTCTTTTCCTATTCACATTTGTGTTGTTTTCTCTCCTGTGAGGAACTAACAAAGGAGGAGAGAATTATAGGGTACAGGATAAATGTGTTCATAGGATTATATACAATATATATAATACCTTTTCTCAATCTGGGACAATGTGTAACATTTTAGTACACCAACAATCTTATAGTCTAACATGAGTTTGCAAATTGTTGAATTGTGTGGACCATCTCATCTAAAAGCTTAAGTTGTTAAAGAGAGCACACTTCATTTACTCAATTATATTCTCAACACACCCTCTCATGTGCGGGCCTCATTTTTTCATGGGTTAAGCACGTGAATTTCTTTTATTTTATTTTTATAATGGGTGTGGTGTGATTTGATCCCATGACCTCTGCCTACTCTAATATCATGTGGAAGTGTGTGACCATCTCATCTAAAAGCTAATGTTGTTAGAGAGAGTAGACTTTACTTAATTATATTCTCAACAAAACTTATGAGTACACTACCATAGTAAAAGGTTTCTCATTGTAAAGAGGCACACTGATGAGTTTTCTCTAGGAAATAGCTGTAATTGCACAACACTAGAAAAAATATTGGCAGAAGTGTGCCAAAGCATGTTTAGGCTCTAAAGCTAGGTATGATGCAGATTGGGCGCTTTGCCTCAAGCATTCATCACTTCAATAAAGCCCCAAAGGCCCCTTAGTGTGAAAGAATCTGACTCCTTGGAAGATAATATGGGAAGTCAAGATTCCATACAAGGTAGCATGCTTAGTGGCAAAACAAGTTGTCCTAAATCAAGATAAGCTAATGGAAAGGGGGTCAGAAGCTATGTCCTAGATGTTTTTTGTTGAAGCTGACTGGGATGTAGATAGGATGACAACTTTATTGAGTGAAGTGGAGAATTTTCCTGGCACTACTGTACAATCTGATACACTGAAATGGAGATATTCAGGGATGGGATTTTCTCTGTGAATAAAATGTGCAAGGGCAAAAGTGTGATACAAGGTGAGTACCCAAACATCTGGAAGAGCATGGCTCCCACCAAGGTTAAATGCTTCACTTGGCAAGTGGTGAAGAGAGCATGCCTTACACATCATGAGGTTCTACAAAAGAAGGGGAGAGTAGTAGTGACAAGATATTTTTTATGCAATGGAACTGGGGAAACAAATAACCATCTTTTTCTGCATTGCAAGTTCACTACACAACTGTGGAACCTCTTCCTCAGTTTCACAAAGACTGAATGGACAATGCGTGAGCATACTGCTGATTTGATGAGCTTCTGGATGAGAAGAGGGGGTGGAAAGAGTCAGAAAAAATGGAGAAGGCTAATACCTTCTTGTATATGGTGGACAGTAAGGAAAAAGAAATGGGAGATGTTTTGAAGACAAGATCAAGTTCATACATGATGTGAAATGGAACTGTTTAGTGTCTTTATTTATTTGGTGCAAAGGGAACTGTATAGAGGAATTAGATGAGATGGTAGATTTATTAGGTTCTCTGTAAAGCTTAGAGGCTAATCGTACTACGTTGTAATTTCTTGGAGGTGGTCAGCATTCCTTAATGCTGAAGAATACAACAGTACTAATTCTCATAAAAAGAGTGACAGAACAACTTTGACAGATTTTCATCACCTTGAGGTGAATCAGGTGGACTATGCCAAGGAGTACATTGGAAGTTTTAGCTTGCTGGAATAGAGATGATAATCTGTTAGGACAGAGGGAAAAATAGAGGGAGAAATAGAAGGAGAAATGGAAGATTGTCCTAGCTTGCATCTGGTGGACAATTTGGAAGGGAGAGAAACCAAAGGTGTTTTGAAGATAAGAGTATTTCTCTTCAGAGGTTGAAGATTAATTGTCTAGTGCTTATCTACTTTTGGCGTATTCATGAATATCCTCAGGAGGCAGAGGACAGTCGTTTCCTGCTTTTGTTTGAAGCTGTTTCAGGGTTGAGAGTAAATTGGGGAAAGACAGTTGTTTCCCTTTAAATAAGGTTTCCCCAGATTCAGGAACTGGTAGGAAAGAAATACCAGATGCTTTCAAATGCAAAAAGAGCAGCAGCCAGAAGATTAAGATTCAGTGCCTTAATTTACTTTATTCTGGCCAGAGAGATATCATTAATACAATTTAATTTATTCACTTCAACCAGGCTTCTTAGAAGAGCTGCAATGCAACTTTTATTGCCTTTATCCCAAAGAAGCCAGGAGCTTCAGAATTGAAGAACTTCAGACCAATCAACTTGGTAGGGGGAGTTTACAAGATCATTACTAGACTGATGGCAGAAAGGTTAAAAAGGTTGTGAATAAATTGATCAGAAAGCATCAAATGACAAGGAAATAAGGAAGGGAAAGGTTACAACTTGATGAATTGGAAGATTGTAATTCTCAGCAAAGGCAAAGGGGTCTGGAGATCTGAAACCTGACTGAGATTACAAAATGAGAGCCTGCCGATGAAGTGGCTGTGGAGATACACTGGGGAAGGGGGTAGCTCCTTGGAAGGAGGTTATAATAGCAAAATATGGTGAGCTGAGTCCCTGGTGTATAGAAAATGCCAGTGAACCATATGGTGTGTGTGTGTGGAGAACAATCAGAAACTTGTGGCCACAGATGGAAGAAAATATATTATCAACGTGGGAATGGTAACTAAACTAGATTTTGGAAGGATGGCTGTATAGATCAAACCTCTCTCAGAGACCTTTTCCCAAACCTATTCCTAATTTGTGAAAATCTTGATGCTAGAGTGTGTGATTGCTTGACAGAACAGGGATGAAACAATATCATTTAGAAGATTATTAAATGACTGGTAGGTCTAGAGGGTGGCAGCTTTACTAGGAAAACTAGGTGGAGTGAACATAATAACAACAATCACATACAATGTCTTGTGGAAGCATAGCATTGGATGGAGTTTTTTCAGTCAGTAATGCATACAAAAGAGGCTTGCAGGTGCTGGCTGGGGTCAAAATATCATTGGAACTATTTCTGGAAGAGTGACATCCCAACAAAAGTGAAGTGTTTCACTGGGCTGGTGATAAAGAGAGCATGCCTAACACAAGAAGTCCTACAGAAGAAGGGCAGGCAACTGGAGGAACACTCTTATATTAGAGAAGTCATTTCAGTTTCAAAGTGGTCACTTTAACCTTCAGACTCCAAGCTGAGTTATCTACTATTTTACAAGCATACAGCATACAATTTTAGACCAAGACTGTCTACTTGACTTAAAGGCTTTGTGTCATATGATCTTTCAATCAATTATTACATGGGGAGACAAACCTAAATCCTAGTCAATCTTAGCCTTTAAGCACTTATTTTCATAGTTACTTTTGTGCTTCTAAAATACACATTACTGTCTATTTTGAAACTCTGCAACGTTTTCACCACAAAAAATAAATAATATAACAGTTTACTCAAAAGGAGGACTGAATCAATATCCTCAGCATATTGCTTTGAAACACAGTATTTTTTTGTTTTCACCCAAATTCTTCAAGTTCTCAGTCAGTTGAAACTTGAATAATCTGCTTTCCAACATTTCGCCCATGATAAATACCAACAAAAGCTGATGCAGCATTTTCTAAACCCTCAGCAATGTCTTCTACAAAAAGCAGTTTTTTCTCTCTTATTAGCTGAATTGCAAACTCGAGGTACTCTGGAACCTTGTGCCGGAAGTCAAACTCAGAAAAACCTTCCATTCGTAATCTCTTTGAGATAAGACAAAACAAATTGTGGATACCATCTGGTTTCTTTAAATTGTACTGAGAGATCATCCCAGAAACTGCAATCCTACCATAGAGGTTCATGTGCAAAAGCACCTTATCCAGCATATTTCCTCCAACGTTCTCAAAGTAAACATCAATACCCTTGGGGAAATGACTTCATTTTGCAAACACACAGTTAGAGAAGCACATCATTCCACAGAGTACTAAATTACATGTTTCAAACTCATAAAATTTGATAATAAATTTAACATTTATCAATGCGCTCTGAAGTCTGGAAAGTCCTTCATTTTGCAGTGAGAGACAGATGAAGAAACATGTCACTCCACAGAAAAATATTTTTTTCTCAACCTAACCAAATTTAGCATAGAAAAGTACTTGCTTCTGACTCACAAAATTCAATAATTAATTTCAGCATTTGTCAATACCCTCTAGTAAATGCCTTTTTGCAGACCTAAAAAAAAAATCATTCCACAGAAAAGTAATGTTGTGAAGAGTTTCTGTTACGGAAATATCGTAGCTTAACTAACACAATCACACACAAGGCAAATAAAGAAGAAATATAACATAAGAATTTAACAAGGTTCGGCTAAGCCTAATCCACGAGACAGAAGTAGAACGTTTCCACTATGAAAGAAAAAAGATGTATAGTCATATGAATCCCCAACTACAACCCTTATATATGCATCCCAAATCTACAAGAGAAAGGTTTACTCAACCTACAAGAGCAATATGTTTTTCTTTTCCAAATCTATTAGGACAATGCATTTCCTGAATCAATAGAAATTATGAATTTTCTAAATATACAATGGAAATATTCAATACATCATTAACAAATCTTTCCCTTGACTTGAATTCTCTTTATCAACAGGAACACTATCTCTCTATCTTGCCCTTATCCCTCGAAAGGGCTCTACTAAGTACTGCACACACCAATCGAGTTTGCAATGCCTAAACTTGTTAATAGTGACTACCTTGGTCATCATATCAGTCGAATTATCATGTGTACACACTTTCTTCGCATCACAAACCCCTTTGCGATCTACTACCTTTGTCCCTTTGGCAATGAATCAAACTTCCATGTTTGATTCTTGTGAAGAGACTCAATCTCTTCGCCCATAGCACCAACCCACTACGCACTTATCTTCTTCTGAATTAGAAATAGGCAAATAGCCTATTTATAGCTAGTAGACTCAAGCATGTCAATGGTGTATGCAACTGACAAAGCAAATTCCACAAGATTTGCATATCCAAAAAGATTTTCATCAACTACATTTGCAAACCTTTTCAGTCCGTTGATCACTCTCTTCTCGCTGCATGTTGCAATGTTATTCGATTGTTGTTGTATAGGTGCATCAACATTATCATCTTGATTAAGGTTTTGCACCTCCTCCATTTCCTCCGCTCCTGAACTTCTGAGTTGAGCTAGTGGAAATTCAACTTTTAGCTTTACACGGTCACAGACACCACAACCTGTTTCTACTATTGCCTTTTTCCTCTAACTGTTCAGTGAGATAGATTCATTACATGTCACATACCTATTGACCATTAACCTTGGAGTCTTCCGATCTATGCATCACAATCTATAACCTTTCACTCCAGTTGCATCCTTAGAAATATACACTTATTTTGCTCGTGGCTCAAGTTTAGTCATCCATCATATGAAGATAAACAGGACAACCAAATATTCTCAAATTTGAATAATGCAAATCGGGCCATACCTTAGAAGGAGTTTTGAACTCAATTGTTGTGGATGGAGATCTGTTGACCAAATAACTAGTTGTATTGATTGTTTCAGCCCAAAAGTACTTGCTAACACAAGTGTGAAAGCACGCTTCATGCCCTATTACGAGGTAATTTGTTCATATGTTCTTCAACACCATTTTGTTGTGTTGTTCTAACACAAGTGTGGTATCACATTATGCCTCTCTACTACAGAAATCATTGAGCTCTGAGTTGTAAAATTCCAACCCATTGTTGGTCCGAAGATGCTTAACTTTCCTTTGTCTGTCTCTCAACCATCGTCTTCCATTTAACAAATGTTCGCAATGCCTCATTTTTTTTCTTTCAGAAAATACATTCATACTATTCTTGAGTAACCGTCAATCAAAAACATAAAATACGTGGCACCACTCTTTGAGGGAACTTTGTTTGGACCTTATAAGTCTGACTGTATATGGTCTAACTTGTCTTTGGTCTTGTTTTTTGCCTCCTTGTTGAACTTCACCCTTGTTTGCTTACAAAGATACAATGCTCAGAAAAATTCAAAGCTTGATTTTTGTGGCCACCCAACAAATTTCACTTGCTCAACAAAGAAAGTTGCTTGTCACTCGTATGACCATGTGCAATTGGCACAACTAAAACTGATTCAGATCACTTTTTTGAGAAGCTACATTTGCTTCCCCTGACTAATTCAGTCACTCTTTTGAGAAGCTACATTTGCTTCCCCTTCGAGTACACTGGCTTGAAGATAATACTATCTAGAATGTAGCTTACTCTTAATGAGTACCATGGACCCTTTACACACACTCAATGTCCCATTATCTTAATGAAAGTTATATCTCTAATCATCCAAAGTTGAGAGAGAACCGAACTATTCTTCATTCGAGGAACATATCAACACTCAATGTTTCTGATAATATCATCGAACATTCTCAGTTACCTATCTCCTCTTCTGCTAATGGAGTATCATCGCCTAAGTAGACAGTCTCATTCGTTTGCTTGTAAGTTGCAAATCAATTCTTGTGTGGACACATATAATAAGTTGCACCAGAATCAACAACCAAGAATTATGCCTATGACTAAAACTCACAACACAAACTTCCCTTATATAGTCATTGTTATCAGAATTGGTTCTAGTGTCAACAATATTTGCAGAGTTATCAACTTTCTGCTTCCCTATTTTATCCTTAAGTTTGGAAAATCTCTTCTATAGTGACTCTGCTCCGCGCACTCATACCAGTTCTGCTTCCTTGCTCTAAACTTCAATATGGTGTTTTTCTACTAAGTTCTTCCCCTACTAATAATGCCCTCACCCTCAGTCCTGTTATCCAGAAAGTTCTTCATAAAACTCTTTAGATTTTAGTGCATTACTAACTTCATCTAGTGAAATACTGCCTTTCTCGTATAGCAACGTATCAACAAATGTAACATAAAATGATGGTAAGAAACATAACACGATCAAGGCCTGATCCTCACTCTCTATTTTGATATCTATGTTCTTCAGGTCCACTATGATTAAATTAAACTCATCAAGGAGAGTTTTAACCAATCTACATTTGTTCATATGGAGATTGTGCAACCTCCTTGTTAGGTAGAGACGCTTTATCAGCAATTTCTTAGAATATATATCTTCCTATTCCAAAGAAGGCTATATATAATGCTCAAGAAGATCGCACTCAAAGTCCTCCTTTTAAAGTTTCTGTCTTCTCTGGCTCTTTCATCTCTTTAGAAAAACCTCTTTAATTGTCTTTCATAACCCTTGTAACACTAAAGACAGTCTCATTCTAATTTTCCATAGATTGAAACTAGATCCACCATTGAATTTCTCTACTTCATACTTTGTTAAAGATGATGAAGTCATCTTAACCCTTGCTATTGTTACAGAAATATCATGGGTTAACTAGCGCACAAACACACACACAACAAATAAAAAAGAAAAATAACACAAAAATTTAATGAGGTTTCGCTAAGCCTAATCCCCGAGGAAGAAGTAGAGAGTTTTTCATTATGAAAAATAGAAGGGTACAATCATATGAATCCGCAACTACAACCCTTTTATATAGGCAGAATAGATTTAGTTTTATTTGGTGCACACCTAAACTTTACGTTGGCCTAGTTAGCCCCTTGAACTTGATAATTTTATAGTCACAACCTTCCTAGACGTTGATGAGGCGAAGAGTGTGTATCCACTCGCTTTAAGGCGCATGAAAAGGGGAGAATATTTGAAAAAAATCAGCTTCCAAGTGGGTATTTTCAACTATTTAATTGCCACATAGTCAATATAATGAATTTTTTTTTCAATTGTATTTCTCTATAGATTATTCTTAATATACAATGCATATTTTATTCTAAATGTGTCTTTTATTCTTTTTCTGATGCAATCATTATTTGTTTCAACTACATATTTCTTTTCTTTTTCTGGACCCAAATTCACAAAACTTAGTTGGAACTTTCTTTATTTTAGCTCTATTAAGATAATGTTTAGCCAAAATAACGAAGTTACCTTCTCAAAAAAATAAATAACGAAGTTGAAACAGGTATTTTCTACAAAAAGGAAAAAATGTACTTTTTCATGCAAATACATAGAGGAAGTTGAAACAGGTATTTTTGGTTGAAATTTTATTTATTTTTTGTTTGGTTGCGATGATTATTCTTTCTAACTGAATATTTCTTCTTCTTTCCCTGGCCTTGATTAGAATATCATTATCTTTAGCCAAACAAAAAAATCATAGTCAAAATATTGTTGTTCTACTTTTTTCTACAGAATTGACCCTAAAAGATGATTTAAATAATTAGTGAACTTAAAAGGGTAAAAATGAAATTATTCTAAAAGCAAAAGGCACATGGAAAAAAATCCATATGGCAACGCGTGTGTCACACATCCATGGCTATCAAATTACCAAGTTGAGGGGGATAACTAAGCTAACGCAAAGTTTGGGTGTACACCGGATAAAATTTGACAAGTTTGGGGGGGTCACGATCTATTTTGCCTTATTCATAATTTCAAGTAGTCTCAAACCGATAAGAGAAAGATTTTCTCAATCCTAAAAAGACAATATATATTTCTTTCCCAAATCTATTAGGACAATGGGTTTCCTAAACCAATAGGGATAATGGGTTTCCTAAATATACAAGGGAAAACTCGAGACATAATTAACAGTATTTCTTCCATTAAAGTAAACTTGACATGAAAACCTACTACTTTCAGACTCATAATATATGATAATTAAATTCAACATTTGTCTATAAATGAGATCTAATCTAAGCTTATTGTATGTGTCTCTGTGTCAAAAGAACAAACAAATAATGCAGCTATTCTTGGGCCATAAAAGAAATCACCTTTTCAAGGCACCGGCAAGATCATTTCCTTGTTTGTAGTTAAAAGCATCATCGAAGCCAAGTTGTGATTTTAAAAGATGTACCTGCAAAACACATCATTAATAATGGGAAGTTGCATAGAAAAGCAAAAGTGAAATATTACCTTTTCATCAGTACTAGCACTGCCAACGACATAGCAACCTTTCATTTTCGCAAATTGTCCAACAAGCTGACCAACTCCTCCTGCTGCAGATGAGACATAAACTACATCCCCTTCCTTAGCAGAGCATAGATTATTAAAACCAATATAGGCTGCAAGTCCTGGCATACCTGTAAGTTCATTGTTTCACATGTATTTTTCAGAAAGAACAATCAGCAATTTGTCCATTCTATTTTCGCAAAACCCAATCTGAAATTTTCAATTGGGCTAATAAACAGTAGATTTTGAAGTGAAGTAATCCCTCAGTCAGTGGCGGAGCCACCTTACAAGTAGGGGGTTCGGCGAAAAATTATATTATTTATACATGGTTAAAAGAATTTTTTAGGTATATATAGTAGATGTCGAACTCCCTTCGGCTACTTCGTGTGTCTATTTTTTCAGATTTTGAACCCCTTATTGAAAATCCTGGCACTGCCACTGCCTTCCGTTCCAAAAATAATGACACATTTCTATAATTAGTAATAATTTAACTTTAAAATGCTCATAAATGATTTTCTAGTCACACAAATATGTATGACTCATTTTAGATCAAAAGTGTTTCTTTCTTTCTTTATTAAACTTGGTGTCAAGTCAAAGTAACTGATGAGTAATTGTTTGAATGAGCATAAGCAGGAAGCAAGGGAGAGAGGAGTAATTAGGAAATTGATACCTAAAATTCCAGCATAGTATGAGAGAGGCACATCTGTATATTTGATCCTGAAAAGTCCATTGGTATTAAGAATCAAAGTATAGTCTTCCCAACCAGTCATTCCCCAGATATAATCCCCCTCCTCAAAATCTGCATCTGCGGATTTAATAACTTTGGCCACACCAAGTCCAATAATGACCTAAAATTGAAATGCGACATATCACTGAAATTGTGCACCATTGACAAGTAAGATGAGGAATGAAAAATGTACTTACAGAACCAGGATTGAATGAGGCAAGTAAAGGAACATCGTTCGATATATGATGAGACATCCTGTGGCGCATATAAGGGTCACAAGCCAAGTAAAGATTCTTGACAAATAAACCCTTTGATCCTTGTGGAATATGGCTACTTATCATTGAACTTCGTAACTCAAAATCACTCTCTTTTGGATACCCTTCAACATAATTCTTCAACACAACTTGCTTGTTAGCTAACATCATGCTTGAATCCATTACTCTCTCCTTTCTTCTCTCTTTATACTCAGATCTACACCGCCTAAAGTCAAACCACAACTACCGCCTGCCACCGCAACAGATAAGCTGCAAACTTCTTTAATTATTCTTACTCCATTTAATTGCTAATAATAATGTCTAGGATATGTATTTAATAGTGTCATCACATTTTTCTCAATTTTTTTTGTCCTTCTCTCTGCCACTCATGTATGTTTATTACACTTTAAAATAGGATAATGCTAAATGGCCAGATAATTTCGCTAAAAATTTAAAAAGTCTATAATATTTTAATTATTTTAAAATAAACTAATCATTTTTCCATTTTTAATTAAAAAAATATTAAAGTTAAAAGGATAAAAATATTCAAAAAGGTGAAATAAAATAGGGCCGATTTTTTTAACTATACAACTTAACAACTGCATTTACACCAATATAGCAATACTTATTTTTTCAATTATATAGCAATACTTTTTTTTTTCAAAAGTAGAATTTAATTTTTTGTAAAAAAAATCCAAATCAGCCATGCTTATCCTGATTCCCATAAATTTCTCCAATAATTTATCTTCCCTAATTTATTCAAACTAGTATATGTGCCCGCGCGTTGCGCGGATAATTTAAAATGTAATAATTTTATAATTAAAAATAACTAACAAAATGTATTATGCACTTAATAATATAATTTAATTTATAATAATACAATAATATTAATCATTAACTTATTTATTTGAGCATATTAAATTAATATTATTAGTACACACTTTATTTTATTGTATTAAAATATTATTTCTTTTAGTTTTATAATTTATCATGGTGAAATTTTTCTAATAATATAATTTAATTTATAATAATACAATAATATTAATCATTAACTTATTTATTTGAGCATATTAAATTAATATTATTAGTACACACTTTATTTTATTGTATTAAAATATTATTTCTTTTAGTTTTATAATTTATCATGGTGAAATTTTTCTAAGGATACTATTAATTTTATGATTATTTTATCTTGATCAAATATGAAATGCTTCAAATATTTTTACGTGTTTGTACTTTATTCTTTTTATGTCGTTTGAATAAAAAAATTATGTTAATAATTTATTAATTCTAACATTTCATATAAAATATTTGATATCATGAAATTAAATGGCATGTTAATACATTTTCTATATATGTTTTAGTTAAAATCAAAATATTATCAAAATATTTTTTAGTATTAAATTTGTGTAAAAATATAATAATATAAAATTGATTTAAAGGTAAAAATAATCTTAATTAATACAACCGCTATATTAGATTTGCTCAAAGTTTGTATTGGTTATTTTAAATTTTTAATTTGAATTGTATTAGAAAACATATGGATATGAATGAGAGGTTGATGATTTGAATTTATCTGCTTGAGTTGTGTAATAATAGTTATCTTTGTATTCAAATTTTTTTAAAAATAAATTGAAAATTAAAAATTGTACCATATATTTTAGAATCGCAATTTTCAACTTAATTTAATGTTGTTATTATATAATATTATGAATTCTTAAATTTGCAAATGACTTATATTTGTTATATTGTTCAAGATAGAATTTAACACTTGCTAGATATCGATAAATATTATTTATCTTAAATTCAAAAGTTTAAAGTTAATGAAATTTTAAAGTGACCAGTTATATTTAATTAGGACTTATCCATAACTTATTTATATAATTGGCTACTTAAAATTTAAAATTCAAAATGAATTGGTTAATAGTTATCGAATCCTAATTTTTAGCAACATGGAAAAGAAGTTTTAAAACTCTCTATTTAATTGGATAAATATTTTTTTTTCTAAATAAAGATTAATTCGATATTGAAATTGTAATTTTTATAAGCGTAAGATTTTGCAATGTTTTTATAGTGTTTGCAATTTTTATTTTTAGTGTTTGCATTTCTACGTAACTTCTTTTTTTTGTGTTTGCAATTTTTAACCTTTTTATTTTTGGGCAATTTTAAAAGTTAACAATGAGATATGGATATATAGATATATAGACTACAGCTTTACAAATATTTTTATTAGTTTTTCTAATCAAGGATTTTATATATAAATGAATTATTCTTCTTATCATGTTTAAAATATATTAAACATTTTATATATAAATGCAGCAATCTATTTATTTAAAATAATAGTGAATTCTTATTAAATTTTTAATTTACTATTACTCTCTTCTTTCATTTTATGAAATTTTTATTTGTTTAGTTTTTTTTCTAATAGGTATATATTTTATTCTTCAGTATAACTTAAACTTATAAATACTATTAAGATTTAATTTTAAAATGGTAAACTAATTTTATATAAATAATTAGTGTATTATTTTAATATTAATAAATTAAACTTGAGAAATCATAAGCACTACCAACATTATATTATGAGAGAAGCATAAAAATATACATGCCAATTCATTTCAAGTCAATTCTAATTCAAAATTTAAAAGCAATAATGTCAATTATTATATTAAATTTAAAAATATATCGAGAAAATTTTATGTGGTAGAATGAAAAAAATGATAAACATTGATAAAAATGAAGAGATGAAAATAAAACTTTGTAAGGCATCATTCATTTTATATTATAATTATATAATACAACAACAAAGAAAATAATTTTTTTTATCCTTTATTAAAAATATTTACATGAAAATAGAATACTATCATAAGAAAGTGAGAAAAGTAGGATTAGTGGTGATTTTTAAATCTTCGTCTATGATTTAAACACTACAAATCAAACTTAAAATTACACTTTAAATAATTAATGTCCTATTTTTCAATTAATGAAATTTTAAAAAAAATTAAAAAAATTTATTAAAGTTTTTGTTATTTGGATAAAATCAATTGTGTTATAAATTATTAGAATTTTATCCACGACACTATTTTTTGTTAGATATATTTTTTGCTAATTTCAAAATTATTTATTTATATAGTTTTTATAAAGAATTTGATTTTGAGATTAATAAGATATTTTCAAATTCCTTTATTTCTAAAAAAAAATAAAAATGAGATTAATAAGGATATTTGCAAACCACCTTATTCATTAAAAAATATTGCAGTTATGCTTCTTCTTTTCCTATATTTTTTATTCTGATTTCTGATATTATTGAATAAACAGTAATTTTGCTTCTGTATGTAAGTGTTGATTTTCTTTTATAAATAAAATATGTAAAGGGAGGAATACAATTATTAGCCTCCTAAAACAAATCAAATTTCAACCTACGAATGTGTCATCATGATTACTCATTATTAATAACATTAGCATTTCCATCGAACATAACTCACCAATGTATATTTGCAGATCGTGATATATTTAACATACTTATAAATCAGCCTTCGTGCATGTGAAAATGAACATTTTACTTTTAACGACATTCACGCATATATGACAACTAACTTACACATTTATTTTGGCCTTTTAAAAATATATATGGAACAAAACTTCTTAATTAGTGTTGATCTGAAAATTTTTACATGTTACAAATATATTTACAGGAAGCATAGGTAATAAAGATTTACCGTCAAAGAAATATCGAGCCACATATGCTAGGTAAATTACACCATTTCCTAAAGTCATCGGCCTAGTTCTTCGTGTATGAAAAATTCAAATATTTCATGGGAATCCAAATTATGAGCATCATTTTGGAGTCGTAATTTTGCTCTAATATTGCTCTTTGCTATCATAATTTCAAACACAAATTGAAGTAGAATCACAGACAAATGAGGATTAATTACAATTCAAATTTGACGAACAAAGAAAAGTATAAAAATATTTGGCAACTTACTTGGACAAAATGATGTTTATAGGAGTTCTTTGCCTAATGGAAACTAAATTCCTTTCAACAATTGCAAGCAGAAGATTTTAAAATTGTTTGAAATTTTGAAGTGACAATTTTTATTTAAGTTAGGGCTTTATATAACATTTGGATAACTAATACATCTTACAGTTATTTATTTAGGAAAAAATAGCAATTAAGTCATAATAACTAATATAATTAGTCAAAGTAACAACACTTTAAAATATTTATTTAAAATGGCAGAATGACAATATTTTGATAAAATAATATGTATTCAGATTTTAGTATTTTAAATTAATTTTATTTATGGAAAGAGTCCTACATTGGACCAAAATATGGTCCATTAGGCGTTTAAAGTTACGGGAAAAAAAACTAATACCATTAAACTTTTTTCAACAAAGTTAACGTTTCTTCCCCAAATATCACGTTTCTTCCCCACATTTCACGTTGCATGTTTAGCTCTCTTGAAGGTGCTAAATTGTTGTTCATCAAGAAATTTTATTTATTGTTAAACGAAATCTCTTTATTAATTCAAGCAGATTTCTCGGTTGGCAAGGTAATTTCTATCATCCATTTTGATTTTTTTGATTTGATGTTTAAAGCACTTATTCTATACCCTACGGATTTCCAGTCAAATTTTCCAATTTTGATGTGATTTTGTTTGAATATTCATCATATATTTATGATTTTCAATTTTTTGTGATTTTATTTTAATTTTCCAGATTTTGTAGATTCTAGAAACTCATATATATGTTTATTTTGTTTGATATTTTATATATTTCAGTACTTGATAATAACAAATTTGCTTTTAGGGTTTTAGATTTTGGAGAAAGCATCTGATTGTCTACAATGAATGATTCAATCAGAATTACTACAGGTATACCACATAATATTCAAAAATTTGGAGAATTTCCCTCATTTGATTTGTGTATTACCCAAGGGTTGCTCGAAAATGTAGGATCTGCGGCTAGAATGGCACAAGAGAGCTCTTCCAAAAAAAAGAGAGTTTTGTGGTCTGAAACCCCTGATGATCAACGAAAAGATAGAAGTGATGAAGTATTACTTTGTGGCGATGAAGAGGTATTAAATTATTCTGAAACTATTTTTGTATGTTATGTCCATTGTTGATTTTGTAATTGCGTGTTTATTGTTGACATTCCAGTGTTGGCATAATGCATGTTTTTATATGCTTGTAAAAATGTAAGGTATGCCAAATTGTGAATTAACCTCATATGCACAATATCCTTCCAGTTTACGAGATGATTATGCATCAAACAAAAGAGAATTTCATCATCT